GGAAGATGAGGGGCTCGCCGGTGAGCACGGCCAGCTGGCCCACCATCTCGCCGGGCTGCGTCAGGAAGAGGCACACGTCCTCTGCCTTGTCGATCATCCGCTGGTACACGTGCAGGCAGCCCCAGAGCACGAAGTGGAGGCTCACGTCCTGTAGGGACGGGAGCACTGTCAGCATTGCACCCCCCCATGCCACCAGTTCCCTCATGGGTGACATGACCCTTGTGCACCCAAGGTGGGACGGAGCCAGCCAGCACCATTTGGGTTTTATTCTGCTCCTCTTTGCAGGTGCTTCATATCCTTCAGGACCCCAATGTGCAGCTCTGAGGTTCATTTCTGCCCCCCCGATGCAAAGCACGGAGTTGGGGTAGGACCCCAGGGAAATATGGGGCGGGCAAGGACCAAGAAGCCACTGCAGCTCCACAATGCCCAGACCCACCTGGTCCCCTTGACGGGCGATGACTGTCCCAGCCTTGGCATGATGGAGCAAGACGCGGTTGTTGAGCAGCGACGGGTCCTGAAGGGAGAACGGTGGCGACGGTGAGCCAGTGGTATCACGCGAGCTGACGGGGGATTTTGACAAGCACCGGTGGCCTCTCTGCCCTCACCTCCACCTTCATGAGCTTCACCAGCTCCCGCTTCGCTGCCTCGAAGATGGTGCTGCTCTGGCGGCCCTGAGAGGGCCCGAAGAGGCCATCACCGCTCACCGCCTCGTCCTCGCAATAGTTGTAGTGGTAGATGCTCGACGGCTGCTCCTCCACTGTCACTGACTTACGCTCCTTGGGCTCTTGGGAGATGGACTGTGGAGGGGAGGAAGGGACAGCTCTGACCACCGGCCACCCCAGGAGAGCACCCCAAACTCCAACATCAGGAACGTGGGTGCTCAGAGGAGGAATGATTCCCTCCCCCATGCAAGGATGAGTTCAGGTTCATTGGAGAGACCAGATGGCGATGGGACCAGTGTAGTCTGGCTGAAGCAGAGTCCATGGGGATGGTGCAAGCAACACCAAGCTCAGGGCACAAGGACAAAGAGCCACGTTTCGCAATGTCCCTCGTGGGGAAACATCCCAACCAGCTTCTCCTTTGCGGCAATGTGCCCCAGGGGAGCCCCAAGGAGGCTCAAGCAATTTGGGAACTCAGCAGGGCATGGCGCCTTACCCGGGAGAAGGAGGCCAGGGCACCGGTGCTGTCCTCCTGCAGCGATACCGAGATGCGGCCACGCTCATAGGCCATGTCAAAGTCGGAGCGGGGACCTTTTTGGATGCCTGTGCAGGACGAAGAAAGGAGGAGAAGTGGGCAATCACCAAGGATCCTACAGAGCCAGGATTGCCATCCTGGCACACTGGGGGATTGCACAGCTCCAACCTACCGGAGATATCCACTGGCATCGAGATGCAACGGCTCAGTAACGGCGGCACAGGGGCATCCAGGGCTCCTGCCTTCAACGGGTCAGCTGCAGGGCAACATGCAGCCCTGAGCACCAGGAATGCATCCAGATAGTGGCAATGCTGGCAGGATACGACCCCATCCCAAGTCTTACCCAGCTCCCTGGCTGCCTCTGGGGGCCTGGCTGTGCTCTCCCTGCCCTCATCAGCGACGGCAGCGCTCAGGACCCGCTTGCTGTGGCGCACGGGGCTGGTGCGGGCTGCGTGGCTGGGCTGGGCGAAGAGCCGCAGTGGCTGCATCTCCTGCAGCAGAACGAAGGGGCTGTGTCACTGTTCGGTGCCCCCTCGGAGCCAGGGACGGAGCTGCTCTCTCCGGCTGTTTCCAGAGAAGTTTGGGTGCAAGGGGATGCTGTGGCTGCAACTCACGTGGCTGAAGAGCTCATTCGTGAGCCCCAGGTAGTTGTGCAGGGCCAGGAAGGTGACGCGTTGCAAGCGCACCATGATGATCTACGGGACAAGAAGCCGTGAGCATCTGCATCCCACCCCAGGCGGTCATCTTTGTCCTGTCCCCGCGTGTCCTCACAGCTGGGCTCACCTGCACCACCCGCACCAGGCTCTCGGGGTATTTCTCAAACACTGCCGAGAAGGCCTCAACGGGCAGCCGCAGCACGGTGGAGTCCTCTGCTGCCCGGGCGCACACCGTCCGGTACGGCCGCTGGTGCCCCTGTGCGACAACTGCGGCATCGGCATCCGTGTAGGGGACACCGAGGCCTCTCCGCCGTTGGGTTTAGGAGAGTCAGGGAGGGTTTGGGGGCAGTCGCAGCTCAGTACCGTGATGACGTCGAGGATGCTGAGCAAGCTGTGCACGCTGTCGCCTGCGAATACCTCCTTCATGACCGTTTCCTTCCCATCCTGCAATGCAGATGGGTTTTTAGGGAATCATTCCCTGCCACGGAGATGTCCCTGTCGCCCATGGGTGTCCTTTCCCATACCGGCTCCGTCAGGAAGAGCTCCAACTTGCCGTCCTGCAGCACGTAAATGCTGGTATCGGGCTGCCCGGGTCGGAAGACGTATTCTCCCTGCTGGAATTGCTGGAAGATCATGTGTTTGCAAAGCTCCAGAAACAACGGCTTCTCAAAGTGACCCAGCACCCTGCGAGGATGGGAGGCACAGCAGGTGACCAAGCATCCTCATGTCCACCACGGTCACCCCCAAAAAAGGCACCGCCGCTTCTGGGGCAGAGCATGGCCATGGCAAGAGCGCTGGGTGGAGAGGAAAGCCCCAGATCCCAAGGCTGGCAGGGCGGAGGGGCCTCACCGCACGTTTTTCAGCATGTAGAGCACTTCGGAGGGCAGGTGGGAATTAGCCACGTCGAACTCGGTCAGGTCGGCCTCCAGCACTGACGGCGGAGGTTCCTTCAGCTGCAGCGTGGGCAACTCCTTCTTGATGCGCAGGAACCTGCACGGGAGATCGAGGGGGAAAAGAGTGAGATGACGCAGGGCTTTGCCAAAACATACCCGCTTCTGAAGAAAACGGGATAAATTAAGGCTGAACAAGACCCTCTTCCTTGCTCCGGGAGGGCCTGGATACAGATTCACAGCCCTGGCGCTGTGTCCGTCCCTAGCGCCGCAGCCCCCCTCTGCCCGCGCAGAGACTCGGGGAATCAGATCTCACTTTTTGGCAATATTCAGCATCTTGAGCTTCTTCTTCATGCGGGGCCGGGAGGTGCTGGAAATGGTGGTGTCTACGAGGGACGAGGTGGACTGGGAAACCTGCCGGGAGAGGGGCCGGTGAGTGCCCAGTCTCCGTGAGCCCGGACCCCCTGGGGATCTCTCCACTGGCCAAGCGCTGT